CTGGATAATCATATGTAAAAAAAAATGAAGCTTAATCCATATCTCACACCTTACACAAAATTCCAAATGAATCAGAGACCTTGAGAGCAGACCAGAATCCATAAAACATATTGAGGAAAGTGTTCCAAGATTTGGACTTCAAAGGTGTTTTCAAGGATATGATTCTACTGGCATAAACCACAGAAATAGAATGAAACAAATGGAATTGCATCAAATTAAAAAGCTTTCTTTTGCCTGTCAAAGAAACTCAGATAACAACTAAAACATACCTAACTGAATGGGAGAGAAAATTCACACTCCATGCATCAAATAAAGGATTAATATCCAAGACATACAAAGTACTCACAAAGTATGCACAGAGCCCAAAACACTGCAAGCAGGAGACCCAAATTACAATTTTGACTAGATTTTTTTAAAATGTGCCTGCTAAGGACAGTAGATAACATGGACCAGGAAGACTGCTCCATAGCTGGAAGCCTGCCTCATGAGCAAAGGGGAGAAGGCAGCTGGAATAGAGAAGGGATCACTAAGAAAAAGGTGGCTGGAGGAATCAGTAGGGATGGGAGATGTGTGCAGAAAGTAGATGAAGGACCAAACATGATAACCTCTCAGGGTCTGTATTGCAAATCATAATGCCCAAAAGTAGAGAGAGAGAGTATGGGGAGGGTGGGAAAGGGGGGTATACCGGGGATATTGGTGGTGGGGAATGTGCACTGGTGGAGGGATGGGTGTTTGATCATTGTGTGATTGTAACCCAAACAAAAAAGCTTGTAACTATCTCACAATGATTCAATAAAATTAAAAAAATGAATAATTAAAAAAAAACGTGCCTGCTAAGTATGCAGGCTGGGAAGTGGGAGAGAACCTGGAAGACTGACAGAAGGTCAGTCACACTGATGATGGGATTGGTGTCAGGGCATTGTATGCCTGAAGCCAAATCATAAACAACTCTGTTAATAAATGTTTTTAAAATTCTGTCACTATCACTATTCTGTCACTGTTCTTCTATTGTTCATCAATTTGCTAGAGTGGGCCCAGTAATGTCTCCATTTTGAGACTTGTTGTTACTGTGTTTGGCATATCGAATATGTCACATGTAGCTTGCCAGGCTTTGCCGTGTGGGCGAGATACTCTCGGTAGCTTGCTGGGCTCTCTGAGAGGGGTGGAGGAATTGAACCCAGGTCGGCTGTGTGCAAGGTAAATGTTTTACCTACTGTGCTATATTGAAATAACAATATAATAGTCTGAAAGGCTTTAGGAAGAGTTGTTTTTTAAAAAGGGAAACAATTACAAAAAAAGTTAAATGGAGATGAGGGCCGAAGAGAGAGTACAGTGGTTAAGGCACTTATCTTGAACATGGCTAACAGTGGTTTGATCCCTTGCACAGCAGATGATCTCTTGAGTACTGCCAGGAATGAGTCATGACCACAGAGCTAGGCGTAAGCCCTGAGTACCACTGTGTATAGTTCCAATTGCATCATCACCATCCCTAGTTCCCCAACATCCACCAATAAAAAGTATATTATAAAAATCAAAAGTATATAACAAAAGTATATAACAAGAATTTCAGAGTATAAAATTTTTAAACAAACAGCAACCAAAGATTAGGCAGAATTATGCAGCTATAGGCTCACAGATTTATAAGTCCCAAACACTTTATACATAAAGTCCCAAACAGAATAATAGGCTGCCTGGTGCTTACCACAAGCTGTGTTCTTTACCTATTGTACAGAAGGAGAAGCACAGTAAACCCACCCCATATATACTTCAGCCCAGGCAAAAGGCACATATGAGATGGGTTTACTATATGAATCAAGCAGTATTATAAATGTGGGGCTAAATAACTGAAACTCCTAGAGATAAAATTTCCTGAGAGAAAATTCTGAATGATTATAAATAGAAAGACAAAAGCACATTTACAGAGAACAAAGAACCTATATGACATCAGCACTGAGATAATGGAGGGTTATCTTAAAAGTTTCGATGAGAACTTGGGAGGTGAATTCTACATCTAATTAAACTGTTATTTACATGCTTGGATAAAATAAATTTATTTGGGAGGGATTTAAGGACTCAGAGAATATGCCACATTTTGCAAATCATCCCCTGGAGGATTGATTCTAGTGAAAACCGAGAGAAATGCATGAGCAAGCAAGTAGATATAAAAAGCAAAGAAGAGGAAAGAGAGTCCATTGTTATTTAAATATGTCACAGTAAGGAACAAAGAACATCCATAATATCCGGATCAAAAATCCAGGCACTATGAACCTAGGGTGGGAGAAACAGCAGGAGTTGAGTGTATGCTGAAGTATTCATTTTGTTTGAGATGGGCAGAGCAGGAAAATGTATTCATAAGCTTTAGACAATGATAGGGAACAATAACCAACACCATAAATCTTGATAAGGGGTAAGCATCAAAAACACAGAATATGTAATATTCAGTTAGCAGAGGAAAATCAATTTCTCTAAGAAATCTTGGGGAAAGAACCTGAAAGAAACAAAGCTAGAAACAATAACAACAGCAGCGCCCCATCCACCGTGGAGTAGCTGAAAAGGCTCAGTAAAAGAATCATCATGGTCAATGCAGAGATGTAGGAGCAGACTCACAGAGAGACGGGGGAAAAAAATGAAACACTAACAGTCTATTCTCTAACATTTAGGGGCAAAACAAAAGAAAATTAGAAAAATTAAAAGGGTTATGAACAAATGGAAAGAAACAGAAGACTGAGGTAGAAATTATTTAGCTCAATGAAATCACATTTAAGAAAGATATCACATGGGGTTGGAGTGATAGCACAGCGGGTAGGGTGTTTGCCTTGCATGTGGCCAATTCGGGTACGATTCCCAGCATCCCATATAGTCCCCTGAGCATTGCCAGGAGTAATTCCTGAGTGCAGAGCCAGGAACAACCCCTATGCATTGCTGGGTGTGACTCAAAAAGCAGAAAAAAAGAAAAAAAAAGATGTCACAATAAAGGGAGATAATAAAGTTTCAAAAACATACAACAAATAAAATGATTATGAATATACATATGAATACATATGTATATAAAATATACATATTAATACATATGTATATTTTTCTAGTGAAAACTTAGAAATACATATTTATATATAAACATATATAATTTATAAGCATATCAAACATATCTATAAGCACTATCAAAGAGCGACTGACATTCCACTTTGACACAGAAGGACCTTGATTACATTTGCTTCTGAGATTTCTGAGTTTTCCAGTAATTGATTATTTGGCCAAATAGTAATATTTTTAAATCCTTTAAAAAAGAAGTTAGGCTCAAGTATCCCAGATTTTCTATTTGGTAAAGTTTTTACTCTACAGTTTGAAATGAAGGGACAAAAATGAAATTAGAATTCTTACTTTTAATACCCATCTACTTAGTCCATTTCTTTGATACCAAGTAATGCAAGATTTACAAATACATGTCCAAAGGTCTAAGCTTCCATGGCAACTTGTAGTGCAGAGAAGTCAAAAATCAAGGAGATAAATGCATTAAAAAAAATTCAAAGGGAACAATCGTCTGAAAAGTGGTCCTTTGCTATAGACCAAACATGATGGCCACTTAATACCTCTATTGCAAACCATAACACCCAAAAGGAGAGAGAGAGCAAAAGGGAATGCCTGCCACAGAGGCAGAGTGGGGGGGGCGGTATGGGGTGGGGATGGTTAGAGGGATGCTGGGACCATTGGTGGTGGAAAATGGGCACTGGTAGAGGAATGGGTCCTCGACCATTGTATGACTGAAATACAAGCACAGAAGTTTGTAAGTCTGTAATTGTACCTCATGGTGATTCACTAATAATAAAAAAGTATAGTTTTCTAAAATATTAAAAGGAAAAAAAGGAAAAGTGGTCCTCTGGACCTATTGGTTCAGTGAGGCACATACACTTATCGAGGTGTGAAGCTGTACTCCCCAAATCTTTTGCTATTGTAAACCAATTTGTTTAAAAAGAAGTAAAATAATTAACAAAATTGGCCCTTTCTATAGCACCCATGCTGCATAATTTAGTTTATTTTCTCTAGAATAAGCAAAAGTATCCTTAAAGAATCAATTCTATTTGTACCTAGGTTTTAGGTGGAGTGTCCTTTTCTATCCCTTGATTTCCTTAAAAAAGAATCAAAAACCAAAAATAACACGTCAAATTCATCAACAAGGGCATGTTTTAAAAGAAAAAGATACAATATTTCATCTTTACCTTTACAATATTCCTTAATCTTTCAACATGCGAAACACAAATAAAAACCACAAGCAGCATCCAATTAAGTCACTATCCCTCAAAGAGCTGTGACAGTCATTATCACAATCTGGGGCTTTTTCCTCCTTGGGATTTTTACTTTCAAAAACCATTTCATGCATTATATCAAGATTTTAATACCACATTGCACTGCACATTATGATTTCTGTTTTACCATTCGGTTTCCACATTTGCAATAAAAAGAACTGTGTAACACAGCCATTAACCACAAATAAAAATAGTCACTATAGTCTATGTGTCTCAACATTCAAAAATGAAACTACCTAATTAAAATGCAACACATCTCCACACACACACACACACACACACACACACACACACACACACACACACACACCCCTTTTATAGTCAACATTGTTAATAAAGATAGATGTGGATCATTAACTAAGGGACATTAGGTACTCCACGGACTAAATATAGGCGCTTGTTTCTTTCACCACATCTCTACCTTAAATTCCTTCAGCAGCTATCTGTCAGGAAAAGGCTACCAGGTGAGCCTTTCTGTCACTCTTACCTAAGCTAATAGATTCTCCAGTGGCTTTTGTCACAGCTCATGTCATACTATTAAGACGACAGTGCCTTGAAAATGGCATAACATATGTAGCTGCATCTTGTCAACTCTTGATAATCAGGCTCTATCTGGCTTCACAAGCAGGTGCAGATTAAAGAAGCAAAATAAATGGGCAAATCACCGTGGTCCCCTTTCAGCACCACGGTTCCTACCTCTAGTGGCCCTCGCAGAAAGTCTGTTTGTTCAGCTCCTACTTCCAGTGCGACATCAACAGAAGCAAAGGGACGGCTGGCCATCTGCTGTCGTTCTCGAAGCAGTTGCTGGAGGGGGTTAAAAACGAAAAAGACAGATTAAACTCATAATCTCTGGCTCCAAGTTTCGAACAAATGACATGCACATATTTTAGGAATCATTTAATGCACACCTCCAAATCTGACCACTAAAAGGGAAGTTAGTTTTGCCCCGAGATCCGAGCTATCTTTCCATGGAGATTTATTTACAGGCATGTTGCCACCAAACAACTTTCCCCAGACCTCCATCCCTCAGGCCTAATACAGGGTGCTGGAAAGCACTTTGAGAACATTAAGTTACATTAGGTGCAACTTAAGGAAAAGCGCTCTGATGTCCATGGCTATGCCAAGTTTTACCACTCAAACGCCTCATGTGTTCTCTCAGCTGAAGGCAAATAACAGCAAACATGTTTAAGAAAAGATAATGAAAAGTTGTCCAAATGCATTAAAAGAGACTAAAGCGAACACAGCTACCTGCCAAGACTAAGTTCTGGAAGTTGTCAAGATCCCCTTTTAATTGCTATGGAAATCGCGATTGGCAGTGTTTACAACTTCATTCGAAGCTTCTGTGTTCATTATTTAAAATGAAATAGAACAAGCAGGCTGCAGAAGCCTTGTGCCAGGGCTTCCAAAGTATCTCCAGATAGATGTTTCTTTTTCCTTATCATTACTCTGGGCTTTGCCCAAGTTAAACCAATAAAGCAGGCAGTCACATCCAACTACTAAGCTAATTTATATTTCTGTCTCTCCTAATAATTATAATATTCATTAACTCATGATAAGAAAAAATTGATGACCAGCACTAGATATTGCAAATCTTGCCCTTCACATTCTATACAGCTAATAAAATCGTTATTAAATATTAAAAGTGGATGAGCAATGCAATTAAATACTCTTTCAAATAGAAGAAAAGCATATCATTGAAAAAAGGCAAATCCTTGAACACAATGAATGGCTTCATTATTCAGAGAGATTCCTAAGATTAACCAGCACTAACTTAAAATGTTAACAACTGGTCTTTGAATGTAAATGTGTGTAGCACTGTAATGCATCATTCATAAATTCCTTTTTCTTGGGTAAAGGAACACCAGCCAGTACCTGATGGCAGTTTATTATTTAACAGTTCTATTCTGACAATGTGACACCGCAGTAAAAGTACTCATGAAATGATATTCTCAAATATAGATTAAAGCCTTACTGGGTTATTAGGAGAACATTCATGGCTGGCAGAGGGTAGTTTAAACCTCTGGAGTCAAGCTCCAGCACCACATGTCACCTCCAGGGTCTCTGGGTGCGGCCCTGGGAAACATTAGCAACAATGGACCCCAGCAGCCATTGTTGAGGCTGAATGTTGAACCATCGGGCTCAGTTCTGCATAGCTGGACCAAGTGTCCTGGGAGCAGCACTGGGGGACCCATGTGAACTGCATGGGCGGATGCACCCCACAAAGGAAAAGAATACTCAAGAGTCCACATGGGATATAAACAATACTATTTCTGAATAATGATTTAAGTCAAATTATGTGAATTGAAGTAATGTGTACATATTATTAAACATATTCAAAGTAAAAAAATGGAATAGACCTAAACCACCATTATTATCATTAAGATGAACTCAAAGTTATATTCAGAAAAATACAACCATTGGCATATATTGTTTATTCCCCAATTGGAGAAGGAAGAGTGACCTGGTCAAATGATCTGAATATTCTATTGATGCAAAATGCAAGCATAATGTTATTTGATATGAACTGCCTCACCTCCAGTGAAGCACAAATAGCTTTGAGAAAACTGCAAATTCTACTCAGATTTGAACACTATTTTCTGACAGTTATAGAATTCCTTTCGCGCTAATTTTTCCCAGCCTCCAAATGGAATAAAATATAATTAAATGATTCTTAAACACAGTGAACAGATTTTGTTGCTTTATCTTACCTTTCTCCTATATATAAAGTTAAAGATCTATTAAATTTATTTAATGCATCCTCAAGATCATAATTTTTTTCTGTAATGTCAATACGTAATATTCAAAATTCACTACCATTTACAAATTATAGAGCCCCATGAAATATAATAATTTATCACTGCCATCTCAACACCTGTTAAGAAAATTCAGTGACAGATTTTTGTTTTAAAATGTATTAAAAGAATACAAATTTTAAAAAATACGAGAATTTATTAAAAGAATACGAAGATTCTAGTTATCCTAAAGATGACAATATTGTTCATTACTAAATTCTTTGAATAAAATACAGGTATTTATTTATCCAAAGAATATGAAACATGAATTTGAAAGGATATATATATATATGCACCCCTAGATGATCACAGCATTACGAACAAAAGGCAAACATGGACTCAACCCAAAGTTAAATAGATGAATGGATGAAGAGTTGTACACACACGCAATGGAATGCTGATCAACAACGATAAATAATATTGCCTTCTACATCAACATAGATGGAATATGAGATAAAAGTACTAAGTGATAGGTCAGAAAGGAAAAAAGCTTATCAGATGAGTTCACTCATATATGGCAAATGAATAATCAAGACCTACTGACTTTCAAAACATAACGAAAATAACTCTGACTGAGAAAAGTATGGTGGTTATCAGAGGGAAGGAGGGTACGTGAGGGAGGGGAGGAGTGGGTGGAAAGGAGAATCTGATAGTTAATGATGCTGGACCTTTGATGGTGGTGAGTGAAGAAGATACACACTGTACTGTGTGAAGCAGTCCCCCTCAATATTGCAACCCACTAGAAAAGAAATAAAAAATAATTAATTTTCTCATCTTTGAGTTTCCATCAACTTTAAGAATTGAAGACTGACTCTAGAACTCTTTAAAATATTAAGGGAAAAAATGTTTCTAGCCGGAGCCTTAACCTGGTAATTTTGTAAAATAAGACATGGGAAAAATAAAAATTAATGTGCAAGATAAATGATACAAATGGGGAATTATCCAAATGAATTTCCCCTGGAACATACTGAGCAGAAGTTCAAGGACTCTGGCTGACATACTGTTTCTGATTTCTGGAAATGAATGCAAATGTTCTTACTGTGAAATTCAGCAAGGGCAAATCCCTTATTCCTGAAACCCTCTTGCACTGATGCAATGGCCCTAAAATAATAAAACAGAATAAAATGCTACTCCATATTCTCTGCTACTCAGTCTGGTTCTTAGTCACTTTCTTAGGAACTGCTCTCACTCTTGCCAATAATGTCATACGCTTTTACAGCCCCAAATTTGGCCCATTCATGTCAGAACAAAAGAAGACATAACTAGTAAGCTTATAATTTAAAATTGGTACAATTTCAGTATAAAAAAATATCAATATAGCTGTAGCACTATCCTCCCATTGTTCATCGATTTGCTCGAGCGGGCCCAGTAACGTTTCCATTGTGAGACTTGTTACTGTGTTTGGCATATCGAATACATCACGGGTAGCTTGCCAGCCTCTGCCGTGCAGGCAAGATACTCTCGGTAGCTTGCTGGACTCTCGGAGAGGGGCGGAGGAATCAAACCTGGCTTGGCCAGGCTGGCAGCTCAAGGCAAACGACCTACCGCTGTGCTATCGCTCCTGAAATTAGAAGATCTTGTGCTTAAGCATCAGTCTTTCATTTTCTTAGTTGGTTGAGTTTCACTGAATAATTTAACCTTCTCTATGCCTCAGTTTTTCCCAACTTCAAGCTAGAGATGTTATTAAGTATAGTACAATTCCGGTTTTTGAGCCTGACCTCATCACTTCCTATTAGATTGTAATCAAATTGTTCAGACCTTTTGGAGGCTTGTTTTTTATATTCTCTGTAAATTGGGACTAATAATAATATCATAAGTTTGGGACCAAAATGATAATGCACTTGGACTGCTCAGTACAGAGGCTGGCACGCTGTCAGCACTCAATAACTGTTCATTGGCACCATTATCATGTTAAATTTCAAGCGCTAATTCTGTCTTTGAAGACACTAATTACCACAGGTCCATTTCCTTCAGCGCTAGTGACACATTTGCTCTACTAGTCTCCCTTTTAACAAATGTTGCAAATTTATGAGACAGTTGGAAAATGTCATGATTGTGGTGAAATGAATTGAGATTTGGAACTGTTCTCTGCCATTTGTGACTCAGAAAGATGAAAACACAACCTGAAAATTGGGAGAAAATACAGAGAACTTTCGCAAGGACCTCCAAAAATAACGTATTTTTGTGAATGTGACTTCTATGTAAAATGGATTTTAACAATTTGTACATCCATAAGAAGCCATATAACAGATGATCTGTTTTATAACTAACCCGCTACTGCCAATTATTTGGCAGAAAGAGAAAGCCAAGAGAACAAACTGATCATAATACAATAGATTAGAACCATGCAGCCATAAACAGTGCTGTGAGAAAATTAAAAAATTAAAGAGAGGCCTTGAATATCACATTTGTTGTCAATAATTATTTCCCAATTCCAGATCTCTTACAAACCATGAAATTAAAAATAATAAATAAAGCCCATGCTTAAGGATGGCAAGCAAGAATAATCATTGATTCTATCAAGTATACATATGAAAATCCTTCCATTCATATTACACTAATTGAACAATTGTATCATTATCTGAAGTTCATACTATCTGCCTCTAATTCCAAAAGTATACAACCTTAATAGATTTCAGAATAATAAACCTGAAAAATACACAGACACAAAATCACACAGCAATGAATTCTGTTCTCAATTGTCTTCATCGTTCCTTCTTCCTAAATTTTGATTCTATCTATCCCTCTCCTGTCTGCATTGTAGCACTATCCTCCCATTGTTCATCAATTTGCTCGAGCAGGCACCAGTAATGTCTCCATTGTGAGACTTGTTGTTACTGTTTTTGGCGTATCGAATATGCCACAGGGAGCTTAACAGGCTCTGCCGTTCAGGCGGGATACTCTTGGTAGCTTGTTGGGCTCTCCAAGAGGGGCGGAGGAATCAAACCTGGGTTGGTCACATGCAAGGCAAAAGCCCTACCTGCTGTGCTATCACTCCAGCCATCAAAAATA